GCTGTAAAAGCAATATTAAAATCCCAAAGCCCTATCATAAGTCCTCCAATGGTCATATAAAATAACACAAACGGCATTTAAGTCAGAAACATAAAACGTAAGCCTGCATCTAAACAGGCCTGCAAATGGCAGAGCATTCCAAAACTTTTGGCACCAGCAGTGAAAACAATGAGTTCCATGCCCTCTGTGGGCCTTGTGTGGGAGTGGAACGCTCAGCAAGGTTTTCAGATCATTCCTAAAACTCCCCAAATATCACAACTGGAGAGAGATCTCTTGGAATGTAATGTAAAGTGCTGCCTAAAATGTATAAGATATTATTGGAATGGTGAGACAAAGGATGAGGAAATAAAATCCTTCGTGATACATTGGGCAATAGATATTGGTCATAATATAGACATGGAAGCATGGGAACTATTGTGGAATATGGATATAAAATTTACAGCATGTTAGGGTCTAAGAGAAAATGATATGAAAATGTTATATTGATGGTATCTAACACCAAGTAAATTGGCAAAAATGTATAAATCATAATCAAATCAGTTTTGGAAATGTAAAGAGAAAGAAGGTTCTTTTTATCATATGGGGTGGTCTTGTAATAAGGTTAACGCTTACTGGGAAATGATATATAATGAATATAAAAAGATGTTTAAAATAACTTTTGTAAAAAAAAAAACCAGAAGTCTTCCTTTGGTGAATTATAGGGACAGAACTACCCAAACTGTATAGAAATTTATTCATGTATGTGACTACAGTGGCAAGAATGCTATGTGCTCAAAAATGGAAAGAAGTCCCAGCGAAAGAAGAATGGATACAAATCTTATGGAATATGCAGAAATGGTGAAATTTACCGGAAAAATAAGAAATCAAGATAACAAACTTTTTATAAAAGAATGGAAATGGTTTATTGAATATTTACAAGCAAATTGTAAACAGATAAGAACATTAGCAGGATTATTGTAACAACCTGCAGTTTTATAAGAGTATATGTTTAAAGTAGATGAATAAATAAGCAAATTAAGTTAATTTAGAATATGCAAAAAATATAAAAAAATAAATTTAAGGAACTGCAGAAAGAGTGGGAAGGAAGGAGGGTGTGTACATTTTGAAATGTTAAAATGATTGTAAAATTATTGAAATGTATAAAACTGAAACTCATTAAACAAACAAACAAACAAACAAACAAACAAACTCCCCAAAACTCAGTTCAGAAGATACCCAGAGCTATCCCTCCCTGAGGAAGTTAATTCACGTGGCAGTTTTATATTGTGCAGAGTGCATATCTTGCGCTTAGAAATTTCCAGGTTTGGTCTTGGCATTTGGTGCAGGTTAGTCTGGAAAAGACTCCTGCTTAAAAACCCTGCCAAGAAAATACCAGTAGACAATGCAGAGCCCGATGCTCTGACTCCATACAAGTCTTCCTGTGTTCCAATGAAATGTTTGCTGTGCACATTTCCCCCCTACATTACTGAAAGATTATATGCTTCTGGCTGAAATTAGAAAATTAAAAAAATGTCATTCATATAGCCACCCTTTTGCTTGTGCCTAAAGAGTGTTTCAGATTCACTTATGCATAAAAGGTATGATTAGTAGTAAGATCTCACCTTGCATTCGAAATCACACTAAGCTTGAGGCGCTATACTAATTTGAGCCTTTCCAGTGATCTTGCTTTTCAATTTATTTCATTTATATCAAGTCTGTTGCCATTTGCTGCACAGAGTGGCCATGTGCCTGTCTCCTGTCCTTGTATAACAAGCATGCTTCATTGATGAAAATTGAAGACAGATAAATAATTCCTATGGATCACTACAGACTATAGGTTACATACAGCTAAGCTCTACACAGAGTAGACATGTTGAAATTAATAGACTCAAGTCAACCATGACTATAAATTTCAATGGGTCTACCCCACACCTGACACCTGACTCAGTCCAAGCATGCACACCTGTGATATCAGGTGTGGGGCCAGGTACCAATATGGCTAGAATGGAACAATCTGGAACTTAAAGTGAGCTCCTGATTATTCCTTTGCTGGAGCAAGTAGCATTTCCTCTCCCATCAGGTGGTGGTCGTGGGGCAGTGTGACTCACCCCAATGGCATCAGGCAGCTTCCATTGAAACTGTTGCTAAAACTGAGCCTTTTCTGCCAGTGCTTTTTTAGGGCATTATCTGGAGCACATTTGCTTTTCTGAAGATCTTGATTTGCTTACTGCAGCAATCATTTTAATTGTTCCAGCAGAAAGCATCCAGCACCTCATGGATGTCCCAAGAAAGACAATAATACCTTAATATGAGGAACACTAATAAAGGGAGAACTCATTCATAAGCTTCTTCTGAAGCTGGGCCAGAATAACTCCCCACATATCAGTGCATTCCTCCATCCCACAAGGAACATAATCACAAGCAGTCTGATCCAGAACACATTAAGCCCTACAATGTCAGGGATGCTTAAGTTGAGATTTCTGCATTGCAGGGTGTTGGACTAGATGGGGTGCCTTCCGACTCCACAATTCTATGATTCCTCAACTAAACTGCTGTTCATTTGGCCACATCAGTGCAGATCCTATGAATTATTGTTGTTTTCTGACTTGGAAGTGGATCTCTGTCTGCCAGGGAGAATCAAATTGTCACAGGCTTTGAATCTTAATTTGAATAATGCCAGTTTCATTTCAAACACAACCAAACTCTGTCGTAATCACTGAGTTCCTGCTTAGATTAATGAACCAGTGGCATGACCTGTGAAGTGTGGCAGTGTATGCTGAATGAATACTTCTGTGTTAATGTAAAACTGCAAATCCTCACCTCATTGATCCAGCATGAGGAATCCTCACATGGAAATAGGTCTCTGCTTGGGGACATGCCCTACTGCCAGTTGAATAGAGCGGTGAGAGATGCATCGTGATGGCTCAGCATCTCTCTAGCACTGCCTACACATGAACAATACTGTCAGCCCTGACTCAGTCCAAGCATGTCCAAGTAGGCACACCCTTTGCTAAGACTGCCTTTTCATGCAACCATCTCTGCAACAGAGAAAATTGATTCTGGGATGAGGCTTTGTGAGCATGTGTACCTGACATTCTATCTTATGGGAGTGCAAAGAATCATGAATTGTTAGGCAAATGTATTCATGTGCACATATATCTTTTGTGTGACACAAGGAGACACACTGTAGAATGAGATGATTGACTTCACTGAAGGGAACCATGTCTGGACTGGGTGTCTGTATAGAATGTCAAGTAGAAATTACAAGCTAACTAAGCAATCCTTTCAGCTGACTACTTTGCATTAATTTAGTAAGCAGCCTTTTCCCCAAAAATATTTGGCATGTGTGTTGCAAATAAAAAAGGTTTGGGACACCTATGTACTGAAAGTTTAATTTTGCATAACTGAAGTTTTGCCAATATTCAATAAAATACATGATAAGAATAAAGATATATCCTGTGTCTTCCTCCCTCCCTCCTAAGAACAACACTCTAGCCCAGGGGTCAGCAACCTTTTTCAGCCGTGGGTCAGTCTACCATCCCTCAGACCTTGTGGGGGGCCGGACTACATTTTTTGGGGGGGGGGAATGAACAAATTCCTATGCCCCTTAAATAACCCAGAGATGCATTTTAAATAAAAGCACACGTTCTACTCATGTAAAAACACCAGACAGGCCCCACAAATCACCCAGAGATGCATTTTAAATAAAAGGACACATTCTACTCATGTAAAAACACACCGATTCCCGGACCATCTGTGGGTCAGATTGAGAAGGCGATTGGGCCCCCTGGGCCTTAGGTTGCCTACCCCTGCTCTAGCTGTTATAATTTAATTTTGATTACAAGTACTTTTGCAGTGGGTTTGCTAGCATACAAATATTAAATATTTCAGCCACTAGTCACATTCAGATCTACTGTTTATAAATGGTTTGATTTTTATATATATTGCATATATAAATATATATATATATATATATATATATATATATATATATATATATATCATTATATTAATTGCAATAAATTAATAAGCACATTGTAACAGCCAAATTGGCCTCAAGAATTAAAGAAATTCCTGTTATTCTGTGCTGATCAATTCATACTAGTTATGGGGATGGAGCCCAAAAATACTAACTTCTTGAATTTTCCGTGTGGATTTATGACTTCTTTCCTGAGGCCCATGCCAAGGGACCCAGAATTCTTAATAGTCAGAAGTGAGACACTGAATTGCAACTAGAGCTTAAAGGCAGGGCATTGATCAAACACACCATTCTTCTTCTCCTCCCCCCCCCCATGACTTTTTACTCTTTCCCCTAGAGCGCTTATGCTATAGTCTGTGCAAAGAATGATCAGAACCAAATAACGTAGCTGAAAAAACTCAACATTATGCTAACCTAGAGCAGTGTTGAAAATTTCCCTATTGTTATTGTTATACAGTTCATTGCATGGGTGGCAGAAAATGAAATCTTTTTGAAAAATTGTGAGGGACAGGAAGATATTTCTGGGGGGAAATTATGGTGAGTAGTGGTAGTAGTAATTGTATCGTAGGGATTATACAAAGTAGCAATCCTGAGGTGATCTTATGTATGATTGTATCAAGAGTATTTTAGTGTGATGTGCTACTCATGAGGATGTGAACATTCACACTCTGGAAAAACCCTATTTAAAAAAAGCAACCCTGAAAACTCATACTATTGTATCCAGATTTTATTTAATTTTACCAGTTGGCATAAGTACATGTATATATGAGTAAAATACTGCATGAAACAAGCCGGTGCAACTTAAGCCAGATCCAAACCCCGTTCAGCAGCAGAGCTGCTCCTCTTCCCAAGGGCTCATCCACGCCTCTGCTTTGCCTGCTGCTTTCACCCAGGAAAACCCGTGGTTCAGGGGAGCCAACGTGGGCCCCAGGTTACGGGTGCCCAGTTCACATGCATTTTTATTTTTGTTTTTTAAAAAATATTTTATTAAGGATTTTCTTGTTTTACAGAAGTGTAGTGCCTCGTATTTTTTTTTTTTCATGTAACATTTTTACAAATCCGTTTCTTTTGTTGAGGCATTAGGGTGAGAAGAAAAAAAGGAAAAAAGAAAGGGGGGTGGAGAGAGGGAAGATGGATGGGGGTGGCGTCGGGTGGCGGTGTTTCTATTATGTTTAATGTATGTAGAGTTTGGTGTCAGCGTTGCTTGTGTTGTTCACTTGTGTTCCTTTGGTGGTGAGAGAGGTTGGGGTTGGCCTAGGGTGTGATTGTTTGCTTGTGATTGGCTGTGGTGATCTTTGTTTTCGTGTGTGAGTGAGGTGGGTGGGTGTTTTGGATCAGGTTAGCCATAGTTCACATGCATTTTTACACTTTACCCAAATATACATACATTACTTGGCTGGAAGACTGCATTACAAAATCAATACAAGTGCAATTAAGCAATCCTTTAAAAAAATTCCAGAAAGGGGTGAGGGTTTTACAGCCCAGTAGCATAGCTAGTTGGCGGGTCACCGCCAGTGGAACTTACCTTTGAGGGCAACATGCCAAACCCCAATATGACACGCAAGTTCAGGTGCCCAAGAGGCTGGCGCACCACTCCCAAAGGCAGTGCAGTCTGGGGCTAGGCTCGTAGTGCATCGAGCTGCTACATTCTGCCCAGCCACCAGAGAGCGGCCGAACAGGATGCAACTGGCATATGTTGGCCCTGCAAGCAGTGTGCCCGAGCCATAGCGTCTGCCCCACGCTGCCCAAAAAAGCAGCACAGGGCTGACGTCCCCCTGTCACTTCCTCTGCAGCCACCCTCCAGCTGAAGGGCACGCCACAGGAATGTGGCAGCTCGGGCCTAAGTCCTGTATTGCTTTTGCTAGCAGCACTGAGCCAGGGCACGAACACTGTGTCCTGCTGGAGGGTGCTGGGAGGGACACAGTTCCGGCAGTGTGCCCCACCCCAGATTGCCCCACCCCATGGGTGGCATGCCCTGCCGCATGGCAGCATGCCATGCCCCCCTGGGAGGCATGCACACCTGCCCCCCACACCCCAGCGGCTTGTTACGCTTCTGGTACAACCTACAGAAAATGTGGTAACAACTATTAAAGGTGTCTTGATCAACCACTGGATCATCCTGCAAGCTGGGGATTTCCCCTGTCATTTTGAAATATTAAGGACCAAACTGTTACTAAAGAGTTGTGAAGGAGCAGAGTGAGGGGGTGATTTGCAGAGAAACTTCCTTGCCCAACCTCTGCCCACTGCCATCTTCCTGCCACCCTATTCTCCATCTGATCCCCTCACCAAACAGGACTCCAGAAGTGTGTGTTTGCTAGGTCATGGGGGAAAGTGGCCTAGGAGGGTGGGGAGAAGGGGTTGCTGGGGGAGAGTGCAAGAGAGGGGCCCATTTCCTCTCCACTCCACCCATCTCACTTGGTTGTGCTGCAGAAAATGTGTAATTTTGAATGCTAAGGGGAAATAAGATGGTAAAGGCACTGGTTCAACTTTAACATTGGTATTCCAGCTTTTATGGGTTTCAGCATGTTAATTCAGTTTTTGTGATTTAATTTCATTTACAATCATACTTAATTGCTTACCTTGTTCAATAAAGAAAAGCAGTGAAGCAAAAAAGGGGAGGGAGGGGAGAAAAGGCAGCAGAACCTCTTACAGAGGTTAAAATAAAGCCCTTATTAGGATAAGAGTGAATAACACCTCAGTGCTAATTACCATGGTACAGCCAACACTGTTAAACAGCGCAAAAGCTCATTAAGCTTTACTAAAATGTGCACTTGAAATTTATCCGGTCAGACAGAAGAACAGAAGTTAGTAGCTGTATTAGCCCTTGATACTAACCTTTATTTCTCTTCACAGAAATAATTTTTCCCCTCTAACCTTAAGCCTGATGGACCAAGATTTCTAAATAAACAGTAAATACCTTCTTGATACAGTCCAGAATTTGTGGTTGCAAGTTTCAGCATGTAAATAAATTGCCAGAAGTATATCTTGTACTGAGATCAAGATTGGGTGGTGGTGGTGGTGGTGGGGAGGGGGGTAGCTCTGTTGATTCTACTTGTTCCTTTCTCACCATTCAATACCACTGAGCATGTTGTCCTTCTGGATAGACTCTCTGTGGACTGGAGGCAGTGGTTTTTCCCGTGATTCCACTTCAGATTTCAGAAAATAATATTGTGGAACTTTAGTTCTGCTCCATAGCCCTTGCATGACATGGTTTCTCAAGGATCTGTTCCATTCTCCATATTGTTCAACATTTATAAGGTCAAAAAAGAATATGGAGTTGGATATAATCAATATGCTCTGCCTGCCTTTTCCAGCTGTCAGATGAGGCAGAAGACACCAAGGCACCAAGTTGTTGCAGCAGGAGAAGCCAGCGCAATGGGTCCCACTTGCACAATGGGACTTCTATTTTTTGCCTCCCCCACGTGCCACCACAGCCTGCCCAAATCAGGAGAACCTCCAGAACAGTGTGTTAACAGGGGAGAGGGGGGAAATGCTTGCACAGATGGAATGGCCACCTTAGCGCAACATTGAATTCCACCCCCAGTGTTTCAGAGCAGCCATGAACCAAAAGTTAATCCTGACAAGACAGAGGTGTTGTTGGCTGGAAGTATGTCTGCGGAGTGGATTGTAGTCTCCCTGAAGACCCAGTCAAAGAGTGCTATTATGAGAGTCAACTCTAGATCTTGAGGCTCAGCAGCACAAAGGACGATCAGACTGCAACCCCCCTTGGACAGAGATAGCCCAGTCAGTTATCTGTGCACAGATACGTTCCTGCTTTATTTGGGGCTGCCCCTCAGGACAGTCCAGCACCCTGGCTACATTGTGAACAGTGATCAGCTGTGGAGATCACATCCATGGAGGCTAAACTCATGTTTTTGAATCCTGATTTCCCATCATTTCCATTGCCCCCAAACCCACCATGGTTCCTTGTATACAGCAATTTGGCAACATGTTTAGTTTTTTAAAAATGTATTTTTTAAAAAAGTTGAGTAGAAATAAGGGTGCCCAGCGCCCCCCCCCAAGATCACAATTACCAAAGGCCATTTCATTAATGAAAGACTTCTGGCACTCTTTCACTTTGAACATTCATATCGTCCTCTTAGTTATTCTTCATGTGGAAACACAGGTTGCTTTGTTTAGAAATGAACAATAGCACTCCTGCCGATTCGCAGAGGAGTCTTTATCAGAAAGAGCCTCGCGGCCACAGTTTACAATCAGTGAGTATTTATATTAGCAGCAATTGCATCTGCAGTAATTATCTTATCAGAGAGAGAGGAAAAAAGGTTAGAAAGAAACTTCGCCATTGGACACCTACTGGGTGGATAATTAAGTAGCTCTATGGTTCCTTTCATTACTGCATTCAATAACAGTTAAATACCAGGGATCCCAGTCATAATCAGACATGATTTGATGAGATATAGAAAAAGACAGGAACAAACACAATGATTTTCTGAAAATGCTGGAGGAAATTGCATATTCCTTGGGAGGGGGGTGTTAATATGCTAGGGTCTCCTATTTATTTTGGGAAATATATCAGCTTTATTTTCCTGTCAGTTCTAAAAAAAGTTCTTTTAAAAAATCAATGTAACCCCCAAACAGATTCCTCTTTGCAGTTTGTTAGGATAGAAGAAACATCAGTTTATTAATAAAATAGCTGATGACACATCTAGCTGAAGTCAAGTACATGAGCAAACTGAAGGAGCATGAGGAAGTTGTACTACATTTTGTCTTTCTCTAAGAAAAATGCAATTCTATAATATAGCTGGAAGGGGAAAGGGAAGAGAGAGATATCTCTTAACGTGGTATATACTAGGGTGCATAGATGCAACTCGGGCAAGGCAAGGATTGTGCCCCATAACCTCATTGTGGGCATCGCTTGGGAGGCAACAGGCAGTCTTCGCTCGCTGTGCCCCTGCCGCTGCCACTCCTCACAGAAGACACCTGCCAGTCACCATGTTCACCTCTCAATTTGACGAGCTCCCAGCGGAAGCAGCGGCTGGTCTCCTTGGCGGACTTGGCAGCATCCCAGCAGTACCGGAGCCACAGCTGCAGAAAGTCTAGGAGAAGCGGGGTGGAGAGCAGACCGAAGCACCAAGCATAGCTGTTCCCCTGCCACCTCTCCTTGGCTATGCAGTGTGAGGGCAGGTGCCAGCAGCTCCTGGGTGGCTCTTCTCTCTGCGCTCACACTATGGGGCACGTGCCTTGTCCAAGGACACTGCTGGGAGGGAGGTCCCAGGGAAGGACTGGCGTGGGATGGCCAAAGTCCAAGTTCTGGCCAGCAGGAGTTCTGCCCAAGGGTGGGTATTCCCTTTGAAACCCGCAAGGAAAAGGAGGCATGGCTTGTTGGGTCGGCCGGGGGCTAGGACAACCCCCAGGCATACAACAGGAACAATTCCAGCCCGTCTTTCCCATCTTTGTGCAGCGTGCAGCTCTATGGAGTTCTGAATCACCTTCCCCGTTGATTTATAATGACTCATGTCTTGGAGACACCAAACACATATTCAGAGCCCACCAGAGATTAACTCAGTCAGAGCTAGGCTGAGGTTGTAAGCACTAAAGCTACTTTATTAAGCATAAGGCAGAACAAAAGAAAACATGTCTCCTCATAGCTGTCAACTTTTCCCTTTTCTTGCGAGGAATCCTATTCAGAATAAGGGAATTTCCCTTTAAAAAAGGGACACGTTGACAGCTATGTGTCTCCTCTCTCTGGTCTTCCTCAGAGACAAGTCAGAAGTGAAAGCAAAAACAAATGGAAACAGAGTACAGTAAACATCCGCTCCAGTGATTCCAACAGTTGGTGCTGGAATGCATAACACAGACATGTGATGAACCAATCCTACATATCTGCACAGTGAGAGGAATAGAAATCCAAAATGGCTCACCTCCCCATGGCTCTGGAAGGTGTCAGCCACGTGGCCTCAGCAAGGGAGCCTGAGAGGTTACATCCCTTCAGAATTCTGCACCCAGGACCGTGCAAGGGTGGTTTTGAAATCAATGTGTAAGACTTACTCCTAAGTGTTTATTGGATAAAAATATCATAGACTCCTAGCGTTCCAAGGGACTTTGAAGTAATCAAGTCTAAGGACCTGCTCAATGCAGGATCTGCAACTACAGTGGTACCTTGGGTTACATATGCTTCAGGTTACATACGCTTCAGGTTACAGACTCCGCTAACCCAGAAATAGTACCTCAGGTTAAGAACTTTGCTTCAGGTTAAGAACAGAAATCGTGCTCCGGCTGCGCAGCGGCAGCAGGAGGCCCCATTAGCTAAAGTGGTGCTTCAGGTTAAGAACAGTTTCAGGTTAAGAACGGACCTCCGGAATGAATTAAGTACTTAACCCGAGGTACCACTGTACAGTCTTAAAAAACTGCAGCATTGGCTGTAGCCAATGGTGATTGGGCATTTGCTAAAACACCTCCTTGTATATTGTCACAATTTGTGTTGGGAAGTTTATCTCTAAAAGTCACCAAGGCAAAAAAAAACACTGAGGAAAATAAACAGTATATCACAATAGTACTGGGAACTTATCTGTGTTTTTGTCCCACTGATCTTGATGCTTTCCCCCTCTTCTTGCTCTCTTCCATCTTCCACATGACAGTCCTTTGGATATTTGAAAATAGCTATTATGTTTTTCCTTAATCTCCTCTTCTTCGGGCTACCCAGAAATTGGTTTCCATACCCTTCATGATCTTCGTGGTCCCCTGCTAGAATGTTCCAAGTTACCAGCAGAACAGTATGTATGGGGTATGGGGTGTTAGGGCTTCTTCTGGGGTAGTTTGTCCACCTTTGGTCCCCACCCTGCACTCAGATCTCACCTGTGACTCCTAGAAGCTGTCAGCATGCAAGAGTGGCCCCACCCCACAACTGGCCAGCTAAACCTGGTGAAGGTAGCAGATGGGTCTCAAACCCTTGGTGAGTTAGGGACTTCCCCTGCATGTGAAAATTGAGTGAGTGAGACCAATAGTGTGTCCTACAGTCAATAGGGCAGTTTCTGCACATGCTGTAGAGGGATGTAAAGGGCAGATGGGGCTCCTCAATCTGGGAACGTAGCCTGTCTTGGAGAAGGAAAACTCTGATCCTAAACCTCTGCTGTCTTGTGGGATATCTTCAGGTGAAGAAAAGGCTAAGGAGTAAACCCTTAGCCTGAGGCCCTTCTTTGTGTGCCTCCTCCATGAGAGGTCCAGAGGGTAGTAACACGAGAATGGACCTTTTCTGCAGTAGCTCCCCATTGGTGGAATGCTCTCCCCAGGGAAGTTCGCATGATGCCCTCATTATACACCTTTAAGTGCCAGGCAAAAATGTTCCTCTGTAACCAGGCCTTTTAAAATGTGTTGCCATTCAATGCCCTTTTAAAATGTGTTAGGAGGTGTTATTGGGCTGTTCTTGTTCTTATTTTGATTATGTATTTTGTGTTTTTATATCGTGATTTTATCCTGCAAACCGCCCTGAGACATGTGGGTATAGGGCAGTATACAAATTTAATAAATCATATTAATAATAAATAATAAACAAATTTAATAATAAACCCTACATATATCCAGAGTGGAGGCCCTAAGAGGGTCCTTTTCAGGACTACCATTTTCATGCTCCAAAGGAAGTGCCTCAAAGCAACTGCAGGATGGTGTACTGTCTCTGAAATTGTCTCCAAAGCAGTCTTTGTGGGGAGGGAATCAAAGGGAGGAATCAAAGTAAGACTGGGGGGGGGGCTTGTATATGGGAGAAAAGGCAGAGAAGACTCTTTTTTCCCCTTCACTCCTTCATCCTTCCAATCTTCATCATGCTAAGTTTATTGTGCTAGCCAAAGGCCATGACCAAAGCATAGAAACACAAACAATTCCAAATACAATATATACCATATTTTTTGCTCTATAAGACTCACTTTTTCCCTCCTAAAAGCAAGGGGAAATGTGTGTGCGTCTTATGAAGCGAATGCAGGCTGCACAGCTATTCCAGTAGCCAGAACAGCAAGAGGGATTGCTGCTTTCGCTGCGCAGCAATCCCTCTTGCTGTTCTGGCTTCTGAGATTCAGAATATTTTTTTTCCGTTTTCCTCCTCCAAAAACTAGGTGCGTCTTGTGGTCTGGTGCGTCTTATAGAGCGAAAAATACGGTAAATCAAGGCATTGACTAAGACATCCATTTCTAAGGAGACTATAACAAGGGGGCCTCCGCTGCTATACAATATGTCTTTCAGATTTAGATCTTCAAATGCCCTTTATAGGTCACAGCTATAGTCCAATTCCTTCCTCCTAATCTTCCTTGCTGCCAATGCCTTCCCATCTTGGGGAGAAGAAAGGGGAGAAAGAAAGCCTCCTTCTTCCCCATCCCACAAGAGTTCATCCCACTAAAGACATTTATTGTTCACATTTCTTGAAGGGTTTGAGGCAATAATGAATATATGGATTGATATTTTGTACATATTTGAAGATATATAAGGCCCAGCCTTGAAGCACATCATGCTCCTTGGTTTTGGGAGTGGGTGGTGTGGGCAGGGGAGCAGGATACGTCTCCTGCTGGGCAACGAAAAGAAACCCAATTGTTTTGTGTCTCTCAGCCATTATCCCACAGTTCAACATAGTATAATGGTTTTTGATTATCCACAATCATGTTCCAAGAGAGGTCCATTAACCTTCAGCAGTCTTAGAACTCAAATTAAGGAACAAAATGTCAGTAATTAAATCACACTTCCTTGGTGGTCTGGCAATTTCACTGTCAAATGTACCAAAGAAAATTAAATGCTTTTTATACTCTTAAAATATTAACTATAATTAAATGTATTTTAAAATGCCTATCTAAAGAGCTAATAGCTCCTTAACTAAACAGCATTATATGTAACTGCAAGAAAGACAAATGTAAGGTTTTTAAAACAAATGTTTCTCACACATTCCCATGCTGCTTATAACTGCAAGGTCTAAACCTAGAAGGGTTCCAGAGAGTTTAACTCCAGTTGCAAGGTGCAAATTTTGTTAGCACCTAGATATACCTTGAAGACAGAAATCAGACTATTTCCCTAAGCAGCCTAAAACATAGAAACATTATTGTTCTGTCCATTTAAAATTCTGCCAACTGTAATGTTCTCAGCAAGCATTTTTTTTAAAAAAAAAAAAATCGCCTTACGGGAAAAATCAATTTAAGAGGGCAATCACATACATGACTGCTGAGAAGTAAGACCCATTGAGTTAAAGTGGGTAAGTGGGTAATATAGGACTCCTCAGCTGGGGGTGGGAGGCGCGTAACTCTCACTGTAAATTAATGGGACTTCTAAACAAAGTAATGATGTAACCTAGATTATGAGTTTTTGGTGAAGATGTACATTACTTTTGAAAAAAAATGAAATGTTTTCTTTCTTATTGTGACTTACTAGTAATAATTAATTATCAGAAGTCCATCCCTGGGGACAGGAAACTTTATGGGAAACAAACTACATTATGTTGACTTTTCTTAAAGTCTGAATCTATATTTATATTCTCTGTAAAGGATGCTTTTGTTATGTTTCTTTAATGTTCATACTTCCTTATAGAAACTCAGCTAATAATATGAGTACCTTAGAGGACTGGTATACAGCAGGGGCCAGGAATAGGTGAATCTATCAGCTTGGATCTGCTTCAATTTCTCATTTTTCCCAGTTTTAAGTTCAACTCTCCATATCAGCATGCTGTGTCCTAACTGAGTCAAGGTGAGCAAATTGTATCAGCATATATTCAGCTGAGCTGGGGTTGGGGGCTTGCTGCCAGCAGAGAAAACAAGTTTGTGCATGTGTGTGTGTGTAGGTGTGTAGGGGTGTGTGTGTGTGTATCCAACTTTAAAAAAATGCGTAAATATATATACCACCTTGTAGAAATAATGAGATTATATCTACTTCTACTCCCACATAAGGATAATAAGCAGAAACTACACTAAAATGCACGATCACAATTATATTCCTTAAACTGTTGTAATGGACAAAGGAGACTATTGCTGCCAAATAATGAGGTACCAATGGAATGGCCATTGCAGTTCAGCAGCATTTGCCTTTACAATGTAATATCAACCCACACGGACAGATTCAGAGATAGTAG